ATGACCCCGTACCACACCTTTGAAAGCAACAACAACAGCAAGAAAACGAAATGTTAATAAATAGCAACGGCATCGATTTGGAAGCAGACAGATGGGCCCCTACAAAATTTGGAACAACATGGCAGAATAGAAAGAAATTATAAAAAAGTACATCACAGCAAACAGGGTACTGGAATACCCTACAGCACTTTAAACACTCGCTTCTCAAACTTTAAACGCGTTTTTCTCTAAACATTTTTTTGGATAACTCAAAAAAAACTATAATCCATCGGTTCATGAAAATCTGAAATCTTTCTTATCGTTATTATTATTAATTAGATATATACTAACATTCAAAATTCATTTTAATTTAAATTTGAAGTAAATGCTAGTAATGATTATTACTAGTAATTAAATGCATACTAACATTTAATATTAATTTTAATTTAAATTCCTTTATATTAAATTTATTACCCCAATTGCCAGCTGTAGCATAACCTTATCCCCCCTATTCCTAGCAAATACACAGAAGTGTGAATAAGAAATTATGCTCGCACAAAAGTGTGAATCGACGGCAGTCATGCCAAAACTTACAACCGAAAAAAAGAGCTACAGACACCATTACAGATTTCGGCATGTCTGTGTGAATAACGAACGTAACAAATTGTGAGGTTAATTAAAAAAACATAAATCGTTTAGAAAAAGTTTAGATATTAAATGATTTTTTTCTCGCCACCCCTTGTTTCATCTCCCCCCTTTGTCTAGAAAGTAAGAAATTCCACAACAACAAAAAATGTCTTTAGCCTAGGCAGGAAAAATATCGATTTACTTAAAAATGTTTGACCGTCTAAATTAAACGGTGGCTTAATCGTGAGTTGGTATGCAATTTCGGACAGATTTGAAACTTCTTTTGCCAATATTCGGACATGAAAAATGTATTTAAATGGACGTTTATTTAATTTATCATAAAATAGAATGATAAGAACTAGTTCAAAACAAGTTTCCGTTGGAAATAAAAAGAAATGATTAAGAGTGGATTTATTTAATTCAGGTCGATTTTGAAAAGAATGATATGAATTAATAAAGTTCCTAGGCATTATGTTATGGCCATTAATCAGATTTCATTCAGTTAAACTTTTCTTCTGAATTAAATTGGTTTTTATATATAATTGTTCTTCAAGGATCAAAACTCAGTATCTATTTTTAATTGGCATTCAACATTTTCAGAAATATTCTGAAAATCCTTGATAGTTTTTTATTAATTATATTTCCTAATATTAATAGTCCTGGTAATAATTTAGTTGTTCAATAATTCATTCACGAAATTTTGAATGTATGTCTGTTTCGGGCCAATGAGGACCCTTAATGTTTGTTCGGCTGATGTTATTCAAATGTTTTTTAATTAAAACATCTTTTTTACATAAAAAATATATTTTGAAACTATTTTTTTATTTTTCGTTTCAGGTTATTGTGAATTGTATATGCTCGGATTTCTGTATGATGACAATCGAAAATCTAAAACTAAGTTGAAAATGTGGCAGGCCCGCCAAAAACGATAATTATATCACGTGGAATTATTCCGTTCTTTCAATCTTAAAATACTACAAGGGAGAATCGATAATGCTCAGATTTCTGTATGATGACAATCGAAAACGATCTACAAATAAGTTGAAAATATGGCAGGCCCGCCTATAACGATAATATTCTATTCTCGGGGAATTATCCTGTTAATTCTTCAAGGAAGGATTGCAATACAATTTATATTTATTAATTTAATATTTTATATATTTTGTTTAATTGTATGCATATATTTTTTACAAAGAGTATTTAATAAAAAAGTATTTAATAAAAAAAATATTTGTTTGTTCTTATTTACGGATTCAAATGCGGTAAGTATGCATGTCCACGCGTGCTACAAATATTTATATGATGACGTCACAATTTTTCTTTCACCTGGTTTGGTGCATTTTTTTGGACAAATTTCACAAAAATACCAGGCGCCCAGAATAAAATAGAAAGTAGCCCGCAAAAAAAAACATTTGGAAAAATTGCATCTGGCAACACCGTACTGAAAAATTCAAAATTTGTAGCATACTTTTAGGCGCACGAATTTTTTCGCGAGTAGGGTGTTGCCAGACCAAAATTTTTCAAATTTTTTCGGGTATCTTGCTATTTTATTCTGGGCGCCTGGTATTTTTGTGAAATTTGTTCTAAGGTGCATAACATTATTGGGAATTTTGTTTCCCCATTGGGTGCCAGGATAGACATGTTAGTTACGTTACTGGTTTACAGTTAAATACCAAGCAGTTAATATTACTAGGAAACTAATGTCGAGAACCCCCACTAACAGATTTCTTAGACGTCCATAAATAAATAAAAAAACATTTTTAGTTTTGGGTTTCTAATCTTTTTATTTGTTTTATTTCAATGAAAAAATCAATTAAGTACATAAAAAAGAAATTAACTACATACACTATAGGAAATAATTATGCATAAAGTCAGGCTTAAGGCTTGAAGTGGTTATTTTCTTTCAGAAATTGCTCAAAGATAACAGGCATCCAGAACAGGTAGTGAGTAAAATAATGTAATTGACAAATTACTGGCTTTCAGCTCCGTAGCATGTACCAGGTTGGAAATTCGGAACAAAATTTCTGGGGCTATATCAGGATATAGATTACTAAAAAAAATTGGAGTAACTGCTTAGATAGTCCTTGAAATCGAACAGTGGGTCACATTTAGATTTGCAGGAACATTTCCTGTGGGTATATTCCCAAGGTGATGTAATCATGACGTATCGCTCAACCTTTCTCCTATTCTTACTGCATCCAAATAGTCTGGACTTTTGGGAAAATTAAGGCATTTATAAAATGGAAATAACTTTTTAACAAATTGTGATTTTTGCAAAGTTTAAACTGTTTTATACAGGTAAAATTTCCAAAAATTGCTTCAATATAATATGAAGCAGAGAACCTTTAACCAATAAAAAGTCGTTGGATTTTTCGAAATATTTCAATTCTTTTAAAAGTTGTGTTAAAGGCAATGATTAGGTAAAAGAATGATACAAACATCTAGAATCTTATGAGCAACATTTTTGTAAAATATGTGTAGGTCAAAGAAGCTCGTCCTGTATTTACTTTAAAGTTAAATTGGAACAAAAAACTCAATTGGAACAAAAAAAATCACGACTTAGGGCGAAGTTGTCCTTCTGGGTTTTTAATATATTCGTCAAGGCTTTCGTCCTCAGAAGTAATTTTCCAAAATAAAAAGAAAAAAAATATATTGCACAGTCTTATAAATCATATTCTAGCCTGTATTAATATTTTGTTTATTAAAGAAAATAAAAACAAAAAATAAAAAACAAAATAAGTAGTCCACCCATATATGAAAACAACAAAAGTCTTCAACTCAATTCAGATTACTTTGTATGATTTTTAATAATTTCAATTTAATTTAAATTGCAAATCAGTTTCGATTTTATCTCAAGTCATTTGAGTCAAAGAAACAAAGAAGAAAATCTCAGTTTAGCAATACAGTGTCGGAATTGTATCGGACCGACAATTAAAAACGATGGTGAACTCGTATAAAACAAAACATTAATGGCGTTTATTTTATACGAGTTCACCATCGCGTCAAGCGTTGCGACCGAAATGAAATGTCAAAGAAAACAAATCAAAATCAAACGACCCCAAAGAGCATCGGCAGCAAATATAAAAATACAGTGTTAACATTTTTAGTTTTATCTTGTTTTATGATCATTAACGATTGTTTAATATATATTTCGTTTTTTTTATTGGTTTTCTTTTTATTTTGGTATCGTTGTTTTATTTATAGAGTGTGTATTTTTTGGTTTATGTTTAATATGAATAATAATTTCAAAATATTGTTTCTTTGTTTTTATTTTAGTATATTTTATTTGTTTTCATGGAGTGCCAATAATTCAAACTAATTTCTAACAAAATTGTAGTTTTGGTTTAATTTTAGTTACAATTTTGCACTTATTTTGTGGTAAAACACACAAAAGTAGCACATTCTTTAGAAACGAGTAAATATCCCGCGCTCTTCTTTGCTGAATTTGCCCCCCAAAAAAAGGTAACGACGGATTTGTAGATTTTTATGAAATAAAAAGAATATTTTTTTTTAGTTTTATTTTGTTTTGTACTAATAAGCTTGGTTTAAATTTTTATTATTTTATGATAATTGTTATCGATAAGTTTTGTGTTTTTTTTACAAATTTATGTAGAGCTCGTTTAAAACTAAAACAATGTTAAACTAAATCATTTAGGCGTATTTTACTAAAACTAAATGGGTGGGGATGGGGTATAGGGGGTGGTGTATAGGGGAGAGTCAAATGGAGGCATATTATGGAACTTAAAGTTATTTATTTTGTAGTTTTTTGTTCTTGGTGTATAATACAAATTCAATGAGAAAACAAATTTAGTTTGAATTCCATCATATTCGAAATATTTTAAGGTTAGGGGTTTTTTTCTATATACAGCTTAAATTTAATAACATTTTATTTGTAATATTTTAAATGTTCAGGTATTTAATTAAAGGTTAATTTTTTTAATTTTATAAATTTTTAGTTTTTGTTTGTTGTTAATAATTTTTTGTTATATACGTTTTCGTTTTTGTTTTTTACTTTTTGAGGAAATATTTGGCTTTAATTTACAAATATAAACTTAATAGGAATAGTTTCTGTGTTTGTTTTTGCAATTTTATGGGCGTTTAAAACATAAAGAAAGCACTAAAGAGTAAAATTGTGTATGGGAGAGCATGGCTAGGTTTCAGAATTTTACACGGATTCTCTGAATTGTTCCTAGGCCTGAAACTCCATAACTCAAATGAGACATGATCGTGTTAGAGAGAGAGAGTGGGCGTGTGAATAAGAGAGAGCCTAATAGAGAACTGTTTAGTGTGTTTTTAAGCCTTGAAATCCTTTTCAAGCTTCTCTGAGATGCTTTAGATTTTAGCTTTTTTATAAAACACTACAGCTTACTCTGTTTAGAACTGAGAGCGGGAGGGTGGCTAATGAAAAAAATTTCCTAAAACACAAAGACCTACAATGTCCTAAGAATCTCTTTCATTTACGTTCAATAGGCTGTAGCGGCTCCAGGATGCATCAGATGATGGTGGTGATGATGATGGCCAAAATGATTCAAGGGGTTCATGGCATCGGCACCGGCTGTTGGAGCAGCAGCATGATACCAATCGGTGGCTGCGTGATGTTGGGCCGCCGGATGATACAACAAATGGTGATTGGGATGATGACCACCAACGGCCAACATTGAGGCGGCGGCAGCATTACCACTGGCCGATGAGGTGGGTGAACCGGCCATACCCTGATGGTGATGATGATGACCATGATGATGAGAACTTCCAGCGGCCGTCAGAGATGGTGGTGGACCCAATGGTGGTGGTAGATACGCTGATGAAGCAGCCATCAATTGCAAAGCAGACGACTTACTGGATGCACTCTCGTGATGATTCAAATGGTGATGATGATGGTGTGATTGTTGTTGTTGTTGCTGCTGTTGTTGTTGTTGGCTGGCCAAGGATTGTTGATGATGTTGCTGATTATGATGTGAACTGCTGTTTGTGCTACTGCTGCCACTCGACGAGGCTCCCAGATGGACATTATGCATTGTTGTTGTGGGCTGGCCTGGTTCAGATTTAATGGAATGCGGTGAGGATTTATTTAGGCTGCCATTTCCGGATGAATTATCGCTGGTTAGACGGGCTGAGGGTGGGGTTTGGGCGCCACCGGTTACCATACTTGAAGAGGATGATTCCTCGCCTTCACTGTCATAGTCATGAGATGGTGATTTTTCATCAATGTTACCATGAACCTGGAAAGAAAGAAATAAAAAAAAGCGAATTAATATGAGAAATTTAAAAATGTAGAATTATTCAAAGTAACGTTGGGCGCCACTTTGTCTCGTTTTGCTATAAGTTTTTTTTTCGAAAACCTACCTTCATGTGCTTGCGCAGTGATGATGGATGCGTATAGGATTTATCACAGCCATTAATGCGGCAATTGTAGGGTTTATCCGATGTGTGGACATGTGAGTGCTTCTTACGATCCGATGAATTGGCAAAACGGCGATCACAGCCCTCATGTTCACATTTGAAAGGTTTTTCACCTGGAAATAAATAAAAAAGAAAATGAAAATTAACAACCATTTTTATAATAAAACAAATATTTTATTCTAGATTATTTAACTCTTAAATAACAACACTCATTAATTTCATGGAAGAGTAACATGAACCCCAAAAACAAAACAAAGAAAAAAATGACAAAATGACAATGGCAGCACTTCATGTGATTAATGAGACAAGAGTGTGAAGAAAACAACAATGGCGCCTCTGCTCAGCAAATGAAACTCAAAACCCAATAAGGAAGAGCAGCAGCAACAACAACAACAAGAAGAGCCATCAAATAACTGGGTGACATGCCGACTAGTAAAACTACCCAAAAGGGTGTGTATAGGTACTAAATATTGAAGAATTTAAATAATTTTTCAATAATGAAATAAAATAATATATTGTAACTAAGCAAAGAGAAAAAATAACCTAAGAATTGGATCCTTTGTAAAATAAATGACATTATTTATGTAGTACTAACTATTTTTTTTTTTTTGGAGGAGAAGAAAAAAGGTGGGTATTTATGTTTTTTTCGTAGCGCTTGTTTAATTTAATACGCTTTGCCACAATGTAAACAATAAACGCTGTCATTTAAAAAAGACAAAGGAGGTTGTAGCGTAGAAAAAAAAATAAAATGCCATAAATTATTGGAATAAGGGCCCTCCTTTTTCATTGGTTTGTGTGTGTGACGCTATTGTTTGAGATGGAAACAAAAGTCAAAGTTGTATGGGGAGAAAAGAAGAAGATGGTTATTGAAATAGCAAAATATAATTTAACACCTGTAAAAGGTGTAACAACAACAGGTCACTATGGAGGATATTCCCTTTTCTGTGTGCCTGTTTTATGGGAATGCTGGTGTAACAATGTTGGATAATAATTTATCGATTAAACAATACGGCCAAAATTTGACGGCAAGGGGGGAAAGGCATGCAACTAAAATCAAAAAGTAAAGGCGACAAAATTCCAAGAATCTATAAAAATATCATTTAATTACATTTGATATAGGAGAACTGAAAAGATGAAAATTAGAACAAAACAAAAAGAAATCTGACCTTTATCAAAATCAGTTTGTAATACGAACAAGAATTCCGAGCAAGTGAAATTAAAAGGCCATAAATCACATAATTGTGTGGCAATTTAGTGATTATTATTACTATTTTCTATATTTTCCCAATTATTTAAATTTAATTTCTGTGCTCTAATTTACAAAAAAAATGTAAAAGGCTTTTTATTATTAAATTTCAACACTTGAGGATTATTTTTTGGGGAATTTAATTTTTTATTTTTAAATTCACAACACTTTTGTTATTATTGTTGTTATGCCCATGGAACTGGTAGTTTGACATTTTTAATGTTTAAATCGGATTAAGGCTGTTAAAATATTATTTATCAGCCAACAATAACAATGGAAAGTTGCTGGTCGTATATGAAAAAATTCGAAACCTTAAGCTTTCAAGTATCAACAAAATATTGATATAGACAAGCGTTGACATTGAAAATGTTTTAATTGAAAAGAAGCCACAATGACGACAATAATGAATAAAAATAATTAAAACAAATAAAAAGCCCTTGATATATAGAATTTTTTGTAAAACAAAAATAGTTTTACTATAATTATACACAATACTAAGAAATAGAAATTTACAATTTAGAGATTTGTATAGAACTTATGGTTAATCTAAAACATTGTTCATTTCATTCCCATATTATTTTCTTTAATTGCATTTATAATTAATTACAACAGTCTGGTACAAGAGCCCTTGGCAAATTAATTTTTAACGCTCTTTAACTTGGGTTTAGCATTCCACACCGTTGTGTAAAAAAAAATAAAAAAACCGGGTAAACGAATGACAAAACAACTACTTCAGCGAGAGAAAGGGAGAGTAGTCAAAATAATTTATGAGTCTTATTTGAAATGACATTTGACATGTCATTGTTAAAAAAAAAAACACCCAAACAAAAGGAAATACATAATAGAAATTGTGGAGGGAGGGAGCGAAAATAATATATAATAGGGAGGGAAATTTTAAGCTCAGTGATAAAAAAAATAACCAAGGTGAGAGATATTGGTGATGATGAGAACAATAGAATGGCATTCACGTTAGAGAGGGAAATTAATGATCTCCAATAAATTTAAGACAAATTAGAATGTTTAATTATTAGAATCAAATTAGAGAACAGTTTACAATTAAGAGAGAGAGAGGAAGAGAAAAGTATATAGGGAATAAATGGATGCCATATCTAAAGCTATTTTTTGGGGATAAATTATCTTAAAAAAATTTTAATGGCCATTGAGCATTAAACTGACTTATAAAACTGTTGGTCGCCACTTGAGTAAATCTTTTTATGTAATTTTTTCAAAATAATGGCCATTTACAAAACCAGATTTTTAATACCTGCATAAACATTTAGCAATTATTTCCAAATAAATTGTTTTAATATGTATATTAGAGACCAGTTTATTTTTAAAATAATTTCCATTCCTTAAATTCATCCAACGAAAACTTTTTCAATTTTCTTACTATTTTTTGGCTTTATTGCTGCTATGAAAATAAAAAATATATATTTTTTCCACCAACAGTAATACTTTGCCTTTTACACAAAATATCTTCTGTTTTTTTCGTGTGGAAGGCGAGAGAGAATGAAAAGAAAAAAATAATTTAATTTCCATTTAAAAAACTGTCAATTGCAGTTCGAAATCTTTTTACTGGCATTTTTCGCTCAGACCACCCCTCCCAGTCTCTACTGGCATTACATAAAAATCACATGTAGCAAAGTTTCAGTTAAACGCCATTTGCCTGAATTACATATTCAAAGGTCTTAAAAAAATGGCAAAACATATTAAGGCGTGTGTTTTGTTGAAAAAGAAAAAGAAACAAACATTTAAGGAATTTGAATATTTTGCTTTGCAAGAACAAGAACTACAACAACAATGGAATTGTTTCATAGAACCCTTGGTGAAATTTAATTTTATTTTAAATCACACCCATTCACAGGCAAAACTGCCTTTTGGCATTGATGTTAGTAGCAGTAGTAGTGGCGGCAGTAGGACAATGATTTCCGTTTCCAACCAAACCCCAAACACGCACATCGCAATAACAACAACAACGAGAAAAAATGGTGGGCTTATTGTTGTATTTAGGCTTTAGGATTTTTACATAATTTTCGCATTATATTTGAATTTTGTTTGTTTTTTTCGTTTGGCTTGCTCCCGTCATAGCCATGAAACTTTTATAGGCTAAAGGATTTTTTATTAAGTTTGTTGCGTTTTTTATCCAGGGGTATAAAGTGGAAATTTAGAGCCTTGCAATTGTTTTTTTTTTATATTTTTAAGGCTTAGATATTTTTTTTAATAATTTTGCATAATATTCATATTAAAGTTCAGGGGGAGGTGATTTTTGAAAACCACCAAACGGCAACACTGTTTCAAGAGATCAAAGCAAAAGAAGAGAGTCAAATAGGTTTTGAATTTGTTGAATTCTTGGTGTGTGGGGCTGATATATCTCCCCCACCATGGTATTGTGATTTTCCCTATTTGTGATTTTTTTCACGTTCCACATTTTCATGTCCCTGTGTATATCTATGTGCGTGGCTGGGTGGATGGGTGTGTGTGTGTGTCTCTAATGGGTGTTGTTATTTTAGCATGGCTTTATCCGATTTAAATCTTTATTGGGGGGTAGTCAGCCAACCACCCAATCCCATTTCGTTTGTGGGGGGAACATTTGTTGTCTGAACGTATGTTTTAAGGGTGTTATTGAACATAAGTTTTTGTTCCCTCGTTCGTTTTGCTTTTGTATATACGTATATATATACATATACATATATACATGAGTATGAATGTATAATGCAATAAAGCAAGATATTTAAGCCTGTCAAAAACAAATGTACGACAATTTTCTCCAACCAATTCGGATTTTCAGTAATATCACAACGTCATCAACCTTGTACTAAAGTTAAGTGAAAAAGAAAGAAAACACAAACACAGAAGAATATTTATATGGGAATTGCTTTTGTACTAAAGTTAGAGGAAAATATAAAAATATGGGAATTTCTTTGTTATTATAGAGACAACAAAGATAAACAATTTTTCCTTTAATTTAAAAAGGAGTAACAAAAAAATGAATATTTTTTTGTGAATTGTTTTTTTGAAATATAAAATGCTATAATTTAAAATATAACTTTATGTATATCAAATGATTAATTAAATGCCAACAATTTTGACTAAACCCATTTCTTTAAAAAAGAGTACAAAACCAGTTTGTTTCTCTGTATAAAAATAACACTTTGCAATAAATAATTAACAGATTCTGGATTTGGTTATACATATTCCAAACAAAGCCAGTCAGCCAGTCAGCCACACACTCATCATCATCACCATCATCTGCATGCACAGTAAATAACAAAAGAGGACCAAATAAAGCGGAAACGTTTGAAAAGAAATTAAATATCCTCTCGTAAATATCATCACTGTCATAAATCATCATTAACCGAGAAGTACGAGTGAGTCGTCGCAGTCGTCCCCTGCCACCCCTTGTTGTTTTTTGGCACAAAGACCCACAATATTCAGTTAAGTGTCAACACACAAAATAAAAATAATAATAACAAACAACAACAACAACAAAAAAAACTAAAATACAAAATGATGCGCAATTTTATTTGCCATCATCAGCATCAGAGCGGCAGCTCAACCATAAGCCATTGTGAGCTGCTGAAAAATCGTTATGCGGAAAACCTCCCCTTTTTTGTTGTGGCAAAATGTCACAACAAAAAGTGTATTTGTCATTTTTTTGCTGTTTGCTACTGCTTCTTCTTCTTTTGGCATTTGATAATACCTTTTGTATTTATTTCTAATATAAAAATGCATTGTATGCCAGAATGTTGAAAGAAAAAAACTGCAACAAAATGAAATATTTGTAAAGCAGTAGCTAAGGCAAATAAGGCCATCTAAATAGCAAAAAATAGATCACACGCCGAAGAGGATTTATTGTTTAATGGGATG